ACGTATGTGTTTTATATTAACTTATTCCAAACTATTATCTTAATAGCACCAGAGGCTTAAAAAGGTTTTGAGAGATTATCTTATTGGCCTTCCTCCCTATCTTGAGAATAGGTCCACTGATAACATTTTCATAACCTCCCTTGGTCACGTATCTCGTTGTATAATCATCCTCATTGCAGGTATTATATTCCCATATCAAACATGGATTTTTCATGCTACAGTTAGTTCTGTTAGCTTCATCGTATCCACAGAGGTTGACATAGAATATCTAGCTTATTTTCTGTATGCATTATTATCTACTGATTCTGGAGAGAGGAGGTGTGGCATCCTTTGCTTTCGGTGGGAACAAGCTACATTATTACCTCTGGAATGGCATGAACCAGCATGTATCTTAATATATTTTGTCATGCTCTGTGTTCATGTACTTAGCATATGAGTGAGGTGATGTGTAAGTGATTTTTTAAAAAGCTACTGTAAAACCATTTATAAAGAATGACCTATTTTATTTTAAAACTTAACATCATCTGGTAGTTTCCTCTGAGCTGTGGAATGAAACAAAGTAGAGAAAAAGTTGTTCCAAGATGATGACTGCTTTTGACCATTTTCCCTTGTTTCTTTTGGTCCATTGCATTGGGTCAAGGATTTAGGGAGAACGAAGACACTGAGTCAAATTTTTGGGAGAGAGAGGATGAGTTCAATCTGTTCCTTCTGAGGGCTTTTTGTTCTGAAGGAATTGACCGAGTATAACTTTACAGAATGTTCTCATCTATTCCCCTACCCTTCATCCAAACTTGGATGTCTCTAGAGGTTAATAAACCATTCTCAAAACTAACGCTCAGAGAGCCTCATAGCACCTGGAGAAGTTTGGGCAGGTGGGGTGGGGACTAGCCATCAAATTAGTCCTAGAGCAGGTCAATAGCAGATGAAGGCTGTCGTCTCCTAACAGCTGTTCAGTGGCCTCTCTGAAACGACGTGGTGGCATCCATCCAGTTTCTGGACAGCTGTCTTCCTCACAAAAAGCATTGCCACAATTGGCATTAATTGGCTCTCTTGCTGGCAGCCTCTGCAGACAATTCATTGAATCTTCTCTCTTCTACCTTCCTCTCTCTCCTTTCTACCCTCCTCCTCTTCCCTCTTTTCATTTCTGCTTTCTCCCTCCCCCTGTGTCTTCCCTTTTCCTTTCCTTCTCCGTCTTACCAGTAGGTGGCCTGGGAGGAAAAAGCAAAGCAGCAGTTCCTGAGGGAAGAATGCGTTACCGCCTCCGACTGTGCTGTCTGCCGGGCTCGCAGAGGGACCTACGACGCGGCTGGGCTGCTGGGGTAGAAGGCTCGCGCCTCCCACAGCGTCTGCCTTCTCGGCCCCAGCCCTGGGTTGCTCTGCTCGAGGTGTGTCAGAGTTTACTCTGGGATTGTCTGCTTTATCCATTGAGCTTCTCTTTTCATCACAAGGCAGGAAACACGATTGTGTTGTAGAACGGATGGGCCCACAGGGAATTTTGAGTGATTCAGTAGTTGTGGTTACAAACCCTTCATCGTAACTCCCTCTCAGGCGCAACCAGGAGTTACTAGAGATGGAAGGTTGCACAATCTGTGATTGTGCACCAAAGAGGTGCACTATTTGGGGGGATATGCATAACAATCATATTCCTAAACCCAGAATCAATACACTTGTCCTCACCAGACATTGTTGGATTTATAACATTTTTATTTCGTAAGTTTTTATTAAAGTAAAATTTAATCTCCATTTTAAAATTATATTTAACAAATCACTTGAATTAGAAGGAATACAATTCTATAAAACCAAGGCTGCTTGAAAATCCACAGCATGAATTCCACAGAGTTCTTGAATGCTCTTTGACACCTTCAGATAACAGGAAGGGGAGAGTAGTGGTGGCTCCCATCCTTGAAATCTCCAAGTCTTTTTTCAGCTTATCCAACTTCATTTTCTTAATCTCAATTTCAGAGTCAAAAAGGAGACTAAAGGAAGCCTTATCATTCATTTGCTTATTTTTCCAACCAGAAGGAGGCAATGGTAGGACATGATGCTCTCACACTATGAAAAGAGAAAAAAAGTAAACAATTTTATAGTGGTTCTGTACTTACTAAAAAGCCTAAAGCATTTTTCTCTAGGCTGCCTCTTTTTGGAATTTAAAACCTGTGTACAACATCCTTTGGGGAAATTCAACCAACATGCCGCACATTGCTTTGCATTTAGTCATTACATTTTTATTTTTATTTTTTTAACATTATTGATTTATAATCACTTTACAATGTTGTGTCAAATTCCAGTGTAGAGCACAATCTTTCAGCTATTACATTGTTGATTGCTAAGAACACTTAACATGACCGAGAAGACATCCAAGCCTTTCAAATGAAACCAGGAGCTTGAATTGGGACAATATTAAACAGATGTGAAATCTCATTTCTCCTTTGCAACTCAGAAGGTAAAATTACTTAGTGCAACCACTTTGGGCTAAGGTTTTCATTCTCAGAGTAAAGACCAGGACCCATAAAATAATCATATAGGAAAAGAAGTGATGGTTAGAGTCAGGGAAAATATTCCAACACCAGCTCTGATTCTACTACCTTGATGATCTGCTTTCTCTTATTTACATGATGGGACAAATCATATTCTGTCACCTGATGGGTTGTTTTTGTCACTTAATGGGTATAAAATTACTTGAAGTTCAAAGTGCTAAGTATTAGTAATAATTAGAACAAGCAACTATGAACCATGTAGAGAAAGAGAAATAACTTTGGAGAAATGTAATTTCTAGATTGGACGAGTCTACCGGGTAAAAGAAAGGCTCTCAGTTTTGTGATTTATTTATTCATTCATTTAGAAAAAGTGATAGAATAAATCTGAGGAATGTCACAATCAGATTAGCTATCTATTTGTTCTATTAAAACAAAACCCTCTCAAACACTTTTGACATCAAAGAAAATAAAGTAAAAAGAAAAAAGCTGTTCTGATTTATAACCATTTGTGGTCTGCACGTGCCTTGAACTCTGTACTTAAAAAGAAGGCATTTTTCTAATTTTTTACCAATTCCCTCCTTAGCTTGCCATTTTCAAACATACCCCCCTCACTGAAAGCAAATGACAAGTGAGGGAGAATTAGTTTATAGTGGCCAAGAAGTCTCTACCTGAAAGGAGCACTGGTTTAATTCAAACAGGGCAAAATGAGTGTCTGAGAAGGGGTGAGATTTTAAGGCTTGGGCAGTGAGTGGAAGCGTCATTTCCTGAGTCCACACCTTCTTCTGTCATTGTTGGCTGGGACTTCATCTGGCACCACAGCTTTCCCAACTACACCAGTTAAAATGCCACGTAGTCACCTCTCTTTCTTTGTGCCTTCTTCCAAAAGGACATTGAGAAGATTGAGACAATGAAAGAAGTAAATGTATATTATGTATACAAATAATATTCTTTGCTAACAATGTATTCTGGTCATAGGGAAAAATATTTTTCTATGTGGTTTATATTCATTTTTCTAAGCTCTAAAGTCTTCTCTAAAATTTTAGTCCATGGAGTGAAAATCCAAAACTCATTAGAGGCTAAACTGATGATAAAAATGAAGGAATCGGGATTTTAGGATAATAGGGAGTGGTGAAGTTTGTGTCAATGAGGAGACCCACACCCAAGGCCACAAGGGTGTACAATTCTGGGGCACCCAGTCACATCAGTCACAGCATATTGTATGTGAATGGTGCCCCCTGGTGTGGAGCAATGCATGCCCGGCCCATTCATCCATTCAGGACACCCTCCTTGAACTTACGATGAGCCAGGCATGGTTCTAACTGCTGGGAGATAGCAATGAATTAAGGAGACAGGAAGCTCTGGTCTCTTCTAAGCTAAAGACGTTCTCATTTGGTTATTTTCTTTAAAGGCAAAAAAGCACTGTGCCAACCAAATAAAATGTATATGCATGCAGAATTTGGCCCATGGACCCATCATTAATTAATGACCCTTGCTCTAGGCTTTTAAATGATTTCTGTGATCTTGCAGGTTTTAGCCACAGGGACAAAACAGAAAGGCACCAACCACAGATTTGCACCCACTGCTTAACTCTTGCTTAATGAGAACTCTGTGTACATAGAAGTCAGCTAATTAATTTTCAAGTAACATTCTATATCCCCACCCCAGTATCTGTACTTGCCACTCCTTCTTCTAAGAAAACTAATTCCTGGAGGTGATCTGTTAGGTAAGTGAGGAAGAAAAACTAGAACGAGATGGGGGTCATGGCATTCTGCCAGGGCATTGTCTGCCGAAGTACTGTCAGTTCTGGAGACTGTGGGAAAGGCAAGCCATTGAGCAATGGTCAGTGTGGCTCCTGAACCAATTCAAAGTCTGCTCCTAACTACCTACAAATTTAATTAAACTTTTTCAAGCAAGAAGGAAGATTCCTTAAAGTGTCTTGTCTCTAGGGGTTATGTTAACAGAAACAGGGCAAGTGCAGAATTTAAAGAGCTTTCTTATAAATAATTTATTTCTTATCCTTATGGAATCTTAATGCCATTTGATGGAAAGTTTTAATTAATCTGCATATAGGCAAAATGGAACTAAAAGAAGGTCTGGTCATTTAGCTACTTTCATGTCTGGAAGATTTTTTCTTTTCTTTCTTTCTTTTTTTTTTTGGTGGAAACCAGTAAAAAATGAAAACTTGTATTTTACAATTTTCTGCTAGAAGCTTTAAAGAAATCCTGTGATGGTACTCAAAGGGTTTAAAAGTTTTCCACTTCACAACTCACCCTGAACTTTCTTAAATAAGATCGTGACTCAAAAATATTTAAAGAACCTAGGTCACATACCTGATGAGAGACAGTCATAGTATATCAGCGTAAAGACGGAAGGTAAGATTCACATCTCCCAAGAAACAGAGCAGGGACAATCTATGATTACTCTTCCTCTATTTCTACCTGCCTTCCAGGATCCTTTCTTCCCAAAACCCCTTCTAAATGAACAATAACAATCATAAATAATCAGAGGAGAGAAACTTTCCCTATCAATCTACACATTATATTAAATAACTTTTCCCAAAGTTTGGAGCATTTCCTGAAAACCCTCAAAGGTATTAATTTTTTTCCCTCTCTCTTTAAAACACAAAGCAAAATTCCACTGTCCCTCAGCCCCCCCTTCTAAAAAAAAAGTTGTCGAGTTTTGCTTTTCTATTCACTGCAGTCCTGGCCAAAGTAAAGCCCTCTTTCTCAATGACGTCAAGATCTTTACCAAGATTAGGCTTTCATTTCTCTATTGCAGCAATTAGCCAGGGAATGTATAAAAGGCTTCAGGGAGACTCACTGGGCTGCAGGGAGAGAGGCACTTTGCACCACAGACTGATAGCACGAAGGAAAAGCCAGAGGGAGTGCGGGAAAAGAGAGGAGTCAGTCGCTCCTGGGGAAGGGAGAGAGGGAGACAGGCTGGGAGAAGGAGAACAGAAAGTGTGTGTGAAACGGAGTAAAGAAGGGAAAAAACTACCCTAAAAAGCACATTTTAAAAACTCTGGCAATTCCAGAAAGAAACAGGCTACGTTTCTGAACATAGAGACAATGGAAAGCTAAAGAAAATTTTGCAATCTCTGCCACAGTCTCATAGGTGCTTGGAAATGAAAGTAGAGCTGCCTGTCTTGAACCGACTCTGAGAGGGGTAACTGGATTAGGGACGGGTACGCCAGTTTTTTTTTTTTTAAACATCTTAAATCCTGAAAAAAAAAAGGCAGCAGCTCGGAATTGAATGAATTGATGGGCACACTCCAACTGCTGGGCTGGAGAGACTGGACTTGGTCTTGCCATTTCTGCTTCTTTGAAAAAGGAGACAACTTGGGCTTCCTTTTAATTTAGTTTTTCTCCTTCTCCCCCACCCCCAGCCTTCCCCCTTACCCCCCCACCCCCTCTATCACCACCCCCCTTTTAAATAAGAGGGTGAAGGGGAACCAGAGCGCACAAGGGAACTGACCCAGGAGGCAGAGAAGATGGGCATCCTCAGCGTAGACTTGCTGATCACACTGCAAATTCTGCCAGTTTTTTTCTCCAACTGCCTCTTCCTGGCGCTCTATGACTCGGTCATTCTCCTCAAGCACGTGGTGCTGCTGCTGAGCCGCTCCAAGTCCACTCGCGGGGAGTGGAGGCGCATGCTGACCTCAGAGGGAATGCGCTGCATCTGGAAGAGCTTCCTCCTCGATGCCTACAAACAGGTGAGCTGCACCCAGAGGGGCTTCTCCGCAGGGCAGCGGGGCAGAGGCAGGGGTGTCTGGGGCCGGAGGCCAGCAGGGGCACTGCGGGGAGCATTGTGGAGCCCTGTTCTGTGGTCATGCTCAAGTGAGCTCCTGTGTTTACTCTCTACACCTGCAATACCAGTTAGATTTGGGGATGACAGGTATTAAGCCATAATGACTCTGTGGGACCGAAGAAGGAGTCTTTCTAATAAGGGTCATTAATGTCTGGCTCTGGTTTTGGAGGAGAAGGGTGTTTGTGTCTGTAGAACAACTTTGGGAGAAGTCAGAAAATGCTGGGGGAGGGCAGACTGCTACATGTATCCTGCTCCTGTCATAGGCTGGCATTTGGATGTTTTGCTGGATGAGCGGCTATGTGAGGTGCCTGCTTTAGGAAAGACAGTTCAGTGGTTAGGCACTAAAAAAGCAAGGAAAAATAAAAACACCACTCAGAACTCTCAGGGAGTTCACAAGATTTAACAAAACGGTCACAGCAGGTGTGATTTGGCATAATCGCTGCTTGTTTCCGGTAGAAGTAAGAGTTAATGAAAACAAGTCTGCGTGCGCTGTCATCCTCTACCCTGATTCGAATCGGAACCTTTTGAAGCAGTTATTAGGCACTAAGTCCCTGTTACTAGTTATCAGTTTGCAACAGAAAGATCTAAGAACCGGCTGTCAGAAATCCAGACTTTGTTAAGGAAACCACGTTTGCTTTGTTTCTCAAAAGTTAAGTAAGTTGTCTTAAAGAGCAGATAAGTCTATGGTTTATGACAACCTCAAAGCTGTTATAATTCGTGCCTGGAACACTGGAGCAGTCACCTCACTTACTTGTGGAAGTCAGGTCCCGGGGGGCTGGTCTCTCAAAACCAGAGCTGGTGATCTTTGTTTCTAAGTGAAGAATACTGCTTGGTGATGGTGGAGCATCTTTAACGCAGATCTTAAAGGGCAAAGAGGAAAAGGCAGTGGTTCTTTGTCAGTTTGCTCCCTCGCTCTCCACCCATATGACTCCTGAGGGTCCCTGGGTTTAGGAAGAATTGACTCATTTGGCAAAAACTACTATCAAAGCAAGCATTCTCGGTTTTCCCAAACAGCACTGAGGGACCTTGCCTGAGATGCCAGGGAAGAGAGCTTGAGAGGAATATGGAAGCCAATGAAGTGGTAGGCTATACGCAGGCTGAGCCTCAGAAACGGAGCCGGAAAACTCAGATAAGAGGGGGAAGGGAATGAGTCCTCCGTAAATAAACGCTAGAAAAATAAACCTATGCACCAGGAAAGGAAAAGAAGTAACTTCTAGTAACAAGAACTCCAGACTAGAATCCTTCCACTGAAAATCTAACAAGTATTCAAAAAGAAGATATTCATTCTGAATTAGGGAAGTTTTACTATATAATGACATGTCTTTACCTTTGAGAGTGACCTGCAGAAGATTTGCATTTGTTGCCTTAAAGACAGGAGAATTGTAAGAGCTCTTGTTAGTAAGTGAAAACTTCTTTATAATATGAAATGATGTTCAAAGTTCTAACTTATGATGTACATGGGGTGAATGGGAGATGCAGGAAGGAGATACTGAGATGATCATTTCATTTCCACAAATGTATACAGTGAGGGTGAATTTTTTATGTTTTGTTCTGAGGGGTAGAGAATTTGGAGGAGAGTGGAGTGTGCACAGGTATGCCAGGCATATTATTAATTAGGAAGTTTCCTCATCTATATCTGTATTTCGTAGCTGCTAAGTGATAACTTGCCAATACCAGTTGTTTGATCTCAGCAAATTAAACTTTTCCTTTTTTGAAAGGCAGTTGACTTTTGCCTATAAAAGAAAAGCCACTGCTTTGGAGAATTTTACTTATATGTATATATATACTCTCACATAAAACATGAGGTTTGTGGGAGGAGGGTATAGTTCAGCTGTAGAGCACACACACAGCATGCATGAGGTCCTGGGTTCAATCCCCAGGACCTCCATTAAAAAAATAAGTAAATAAATAAAGAAACCTAGTTTCTTCTCCCCTTCAAAAATAAATAAAATTTAAAAAATAAAAAAAATGTTAAACATGAGGGTTGTGATGTTACCCACAAATATTCAGTAAAGTTGTTTCTCCTATTAAGCAGCTTACTAAAATTGAAAAGGAAACAAATGCCTCTTTAATAAACTTTATAATTTATTTCCTCATTCATGGACAGTGTTTCATTGTGTTGCAGTATTTTGTTACCTGGGTTCCGGGAGACTGAGGAGGAGAGTGATTTGTTTTCTGTTTTCGCTCACAGATTGTGTACTCTTCTCCTGTGTTGTTTCTGTCTCCTGATTTGATTAGTGGCCAAGTTTATGACTGTTGTTACTATGTTTGCCTTTAAAGACTTATATAATAGTTGCCATGAGAAGCAGCACCCTAAGAAGCCATACAGCCAGTGATGAGACTGGACTGGGTGCATGATGAATGGAAACACGGCTTGCACCGAGTCTAGGTGTCTCCTTCTGCCTCCTAGTATGGCAAGGGTGGTGGTGGTGGCTGTGGTGGCATTTGAGGGTCACTCAGAATCCCTGAAACAGGTTGAATCACTGCCCTGAGTGCAATGGTCATCTCTGCCACTGTCTTTGGGTGTAGCCTTTTCTAGAGACACACTGAAGGAGGCTCTGCCTGAGGGGGGCATCCCAGTGTTTCACAGTCCTGACTTGTGTTAGTTCAAGGCTGCCACCCTGTAAGAGGAGGTTTCCAGGATGAGGGGTAGGTGCTCATGTGATGTGATACGAGGCATGTCATTTCGAATTCTCCTTGCTGTTGAATGTCAGATAACTGGGAAGATATTTAGAGAAAGTGCACTGAAAGTGTCGTCCCTGTCCTTGGCTCCTACAAGAGGCAGCAAAGAAATTAAAACAAATTAAAACAAAACAAAAAATCCTTATCCATTAGAACGTTGAAGGGGATTTAAAATTAATGTTATAGAGAAGCCTTTAAAGACAGTTTGGGTTTGGTTAGAGGGAGTGCCATGCATGATTCTGATGAAAAAGAAAGCCTACAGAAATCTGTGAGAGATGGAGGTGCATAACAGATGTTTGTTATTTAAGTTTTTCCTAGTCAGTGTCATTGCGTCAAACACTGCATCCTTGTGCTGGTGCACGAAGACTCGAAAATACAACCAATAAGCAAGTTACTCTGTCTGGGAGCCTGGCTCCTACCTAAATGAAGTGTAAAAGTAAACACACGGTATAGATGCTGACAAGCAGTTTAGCTTCTACATGGTCAATATTGCTGTGGCACAGAAAACATATTCATTTGAACATATAATTTTGGTTTTGAAAGGGTCTCTTTAACATTCTCCTCCCCCTCTTCATTCACCTCAGCCTTTTGACACCAGTTTCTACAATGGAAAATGGCCCTTTTAAAAAAGAAACATTCCCAAAAGAACACAAAGAAGGCTGCAGCCAGAGCTTGTCCATCAGTTGGATAAAACACTGGGAAATGATAGAGCTTAGAGCTATGTTTTCAAATTACAGATCAGAAAGAGAATGGCCAAAAGGGAACTGAGCTCAGAGGAAAGAGTAGGTGGCTTATCCTTCAACTCCAACTTACTTGGCCAGTTTGAATGTAAATGGTTACATCGCTGTTTGATAATTGGCATATTTGTAAGGACACTGATGTATCCTGGCCATTATGTCAAAGAATTCGAAATTTCTTGATAATAAAGCTATCCCAGGGCTTTGGACAGCAAGAAGGGTATGTAAAAATAATTCTGCCACATAACACCCCCACCCCCTAATTTTCTCATTTGCTTTTCTTTCTATCATGAGATTAGATGATATTTTGTCCAGAAGCCTTTCTCAGGCTATGGAAAAGAAAAAGAGAAAACAAGGTTAGTAGTATATGATCTATTTCCAGCTTCTACTTGATGAATGGTTCTTTCTTTTTTTTTCCCCCTTGCCCTGCATTTCACAGTCCACATGCTAAAGCAGCATTATCCTTTCCTCTGTGTGCTGGAAAGTGTCCATAAAGGGAATCTTATCATCAAGGGAATCGAATACATGCCATAAATTTACACTCTTGTTCATATTTATAAGTATGGCTATTGCAACATCTGAGCTTGGCCCAGAGATGTCCTCTGTTGTAAAAATGCAAGCCATTTATTTACCTCCCTTGTTGGTGTTGTATTGATGGTGATTACAAAAACATAAGAAAGGACAGCTGTAATAGTGCAGATGAAAGAAATTAAAGTCAGTGATGACGATATTACATTTTACGTATGTCCTTTCTGATCCTTGCAAAATAAAGGGACCCTTTGGGAACATCGGAACTTCAAGACCAATTAGTGGAAATGATGCTTCTTGTGTTTGGGCATTAAATACTGGGCAGGGTTCTCTTTAGAGCGGCTAATGCTGGCAGGGAAAGAGGTACCGACCTAATTACTCTTCCGCAAGAGTAAAAAATGCCTTTTGAATGCCTCTTTGGCAAATATGTCTCATTAAGGACAAAAACCAAACACAAACCCTCTAAGAAGGAGAAATTAAGATGATAGATAACTTGTGGCCAGGAGACTTTCTGTGCCACTGTGGGAAATTAAAACAAAGTTCAGGAGTACCAGGGGATAACTTGTTTTTGTTGAGCTTCTTTCCTGCAGCCTAAATGTTATTATGGGACCAACTTTATTTTCTTCATCATTTTGGCTTTTTGTCAAGGAATGCTTTGCTCCTGGGGAAACCAAAGAATCCTCCATCATTGAAGACAATGATGATTCTCCCATTCCATCTCAGCAGGGCGCAAAGCTGAGCAAACCAAGAAATTCTCCATTTGAAACCAGTGATAATAGGAATTTAATTTTCGTGGTGATCAAATGAGAAATGAACAGTAGTATCCTTCTAAAAGATTCATTTCTTTCAGTTTAGAGCAGACTTTTCGTTAAAGATTTTTTCTTTATTTCTTTATTGTTGCTAAATTGTCCTCCATTCTCAGTTTTTAGCAAAGATGGACAAATTTTATGATTAGTATATGATACTTACCAAAGCAGACTACTGGGCTGCTCACACTTGGACTTCCAAATCATGGCTGTGGGTTTTCCCCATAGTTTTTGTCAGTAGACTTGTTCTTACCTGCACATATTATCTGACCTAGTCACCCTTATGAACTGGACATCTGTTTATGGACATTCTAATTTGTAGCCAGGTCCTATGGCTGCTCAGCAAAATAAAGAGAACTGGCTCCTTTCATTTTATGCACTGACCAGCTGAGATAAACAAGAACAGCTCAACAGCATTCGGTGCTGACTGAGACACTGCTCTACAGTGGGAGTCCAGGTCTCACTTCGCCTCAGTCAGCTCATCCAGCACCCAAATAGGATTCTGTTCATTGCAGGTCAAGGTTATTATTACATGTGAAGTTCTTCACTGACCCCTGCCTAGGATCGTAACAACTGTAACTCATTCAATAATTTATTCAACAAAAATTTTAAAGTATATATATATATAAACACACACACACACATATATGAATTTTTTCCCCAGCTTAACAAAATGCCACCTCCCCCTCTCCCACTCTGGACCTTAAACACACATACACACACACACACACAAAGATCGTTACATATTTGATAACTTTACTAATTTTTGATTTTAGACCAAAGATGTACTTGTTCTAAATTTTCTAAGGTAAAGTTTTTTGTTTTGTTTTTTTTGTTTTTTTACCTTGTAGTCTGTATTTCAAAAAGAATTATGTGGCTGGATTATATACATTGTCACTAAAGAGAAGGAGAAGGTGTTCCAGCTTTCCAAGAAAATTAATTACAGGTAACAAGAGAGTCACCTGTGACTGAAGTGTCAGATTAGATTATTCAGCTGAATAATCAGGAATAATGCAGGGATCAATAGTTCTGCTTGGGTGAGAGTCAGAGCGTCAGAGGCCCATTTTTACAAGACGACAGGATTGCTCAGAGCCCTTGAAACGACTCCAACACGCACATGGCTGTTTTCACCTACCGAGAACCTACAGGTCTGTAGTCCAGACCTCCCATATGTGTTGCTCACTTAAAGAGAAGTTGCTACAACAGCTAATGGGTTCAGACTGATCTGAATGCATCCAGATCTTTATATCACAGTATGTTGAGAAACACAGCACAATATTATTAAAAGCAGTCCTCCTAGAATCATTATTGCTGTTTTAAGTGTGAAAGATCTCACGAGAAGGTGATAATGATGCTACCTACCACCTAAATCCACAAAGAAGTACAAAAACAAGCCATAGATTAAAAAACCCTTGCAGTGCCTTTAAAATGTATACCTTTAAATTTCAAGTATAGTTTAAAACCTCAGAGACAATTGTAGCTCATATAAAACAATCCACCTAAAAGTGGCTTATTAGATTTCTCCATCTAGTGTCACTTGCAACATAACCAAGAAAATTAATATACATTAAATAACTTTCTCTGTGATAGTGACTGAAAACAAGTGTACTTATTTAAATCACACCAACAGTTTCATTTTCTAGAAAAGAGGATTGTTCTTCCAAGATTTCTTTTAGAAAATGAGCGGTACTTTTTTCAAACCAGCCCTGATAGGATATTTCACGAGGGAAAGAAAGGACTTCGATTCTTTCTCTATGGTTAAAATGAGTTATGCATTAACATTAGAGAGACGCTTCTGAATAGAAGCCCTTGAGTATTTTATATCAGTGTGGATTATTGAGTTTTTAACAATTCACTTCTAAGTGACTTCAATTACCAGCAATGTCATATGTGGTAGTATTTATATGAGGGGGTGGGGGGGAGTCGATGCAGTTGGAAGTGTTTTATAATATTAAGAATAGTGTATAAGAATCAATTGTGCTGTTGTAAGTTGTCCCTAATGTTATTGGCTTTGATAAAACCATTCTAGGGGAAGATCCAATTGTGTTAATTTAAACTGAAGTAATTGGCTCTCTCATGTTTCTTGCTTTTTATTATCAATTTACATATTCAAAGACCAGCAAGCTTTCTTTCAGTCTGTGTTCAACCATTTAAACCATGTGCAAAGTGGGCACATGGAAAAATTTTCTTCTATATCTCTTCTGCCTGAGTATTTTATAATTCAGAGGAACTTGTTTATAAAATGTATGGTAGAAAAGTAAAGGGTTTGTGACTCCCTAGATTAAAAAAAAAGGGGGGGGGAACAAACAAAAAAAACACATGACAAATGAGAAATTAAAAGTAGAATTCTACAAAAAGTAAAATTGTATGTTTTTGTTCATTCATTTGTTTGCTTGTTTAATGGAAATGAGATTCTAGTCAAAAGAACCCCAAAGTATGCAGAAGCCATAGAAACAAACCTCCAGGATGGGTGTCACACTGAGGAGAGCTCAAATCACTTCCAAGAATAATTTTTTTTAAATGTAGAATTGCCCAGGAAAGTGGTGTTCTGTTTCACATGTTTGCATGGCACCCATAACGGCAACCTCCACCCCCGCGGTGCTTTGTTGTGTAACCAAGAGCTCTTTTCCTTATAGGGGAGATAGGCATTATTGTCACCACTCTACAGATGGGAAAGCCGGAGTCTGGAGAGATTAAGTGGGAACAGGCCTTCTTATAAATGGTGCACTCCAGGTTTGCTAGTTCTGTGCAGCCCACTAGTATCCTTGTCCAGTGGTTGAGATTAAATGCCTTAGCATCAGGCAAGAAAATAAAGGTCTTTTCTGAGTATTTTAGAATTCAGAAGTGGGGATTCAGAAAGAGGTACTATGTCCCACAATTCTGATAATTTGTCTTAAAGGGACTTTTCAAATGAAGTCAATTGATCATTTGTTACACATTGTGTACAAAGCACTGACACAAAGTGAGGATAGTAAAGAATGCCAGCCTCGACTTAATTAGGAAGAGAGTCAACATCAGTGCCTTCAATGATGAAAATAATTACATTTAGTGACTAAACAGGATGCAAACGATTTTTATTCCCTTTAAGGCCATTCATTACCTGCCATGATGGCTTTCTATTCAAATCAATATGTTTCCAGTGTCCTCTGACAGATACACCACATTTTATTAGAGCCAGTTGTTTCTACATAGAGTGAATTGAAGTGGCAATGTGTTTAATGTGGTAGTCTCTTCCTCTTTCTTTTTTTCACCACCAGGTGAAATTAGGTGAAGATGCCCCCAATTCCAGTGTGGTGCATGTCTCCAATTCTGAAGGAGGAGACAACAGTGGGGATGGTGCCCAGGAGAAGACAGTTGATGGAACTGAGTGCCACCTTCTTGACTTTGCCAACCCTGAGCGCCCACTGGTTGTCAACTTCGGCTCAGCCACTTGACCTCCTTTTACCAGCCAGCTGCCAGCCTTCAGCAAACTGGTGGAAGAATTCTCATCAGTGGCAGACTTCCTGTTGGTCTACATTGATGAGGCTCATCCTTCAGATGGTTGGGCGGTGCCTGGGGATTCTTCTTTGTCTTTTGAGGTGAAGAAGCACCGAAACCAGGAAGACCGATGTGCAGCAGCCCACCAGCTTCTGGAGCGTTTCTCCTTGCCGCCCCAGTGCCGAGTTGTGGCTGACCGCATGGACGACAATGCCAACGTAGCCTATGGGGTGGCCTTCGAACGTGTCTGTATTGTGCAGAGACAGAAAATTGCTTATCTGGGAGGAAAGGGTCCCTTCCACTACAACCTTCAAGAAGTCCGGCGTTGGCTGGAGAAGAATTTCAGCAAGAGATGAAATCTAGATTAGCTGGCTAAAGGTATGATTGTAATAGAGCTTTTTTTTTTTTAAATAAAAACTATGTAAGAAGAAAAAGAAACTAAGAACTGAATCCACTATTTCAACTGAGTCCTGTTGTCTCACAGAAAGACAGGAATTTACACGTCGGAAGAACAAAAACTTCTAACATCTCAGTACTACTTTCACCACTCAAATGGCGTTCGGCAAAATAGTAGCCTATCACTTCTCTTCCTAAGTAAAAAGCTCTGAGTAAAAAGATCCCAAGATGGAGAAGAAGAAAACTTGTTTCAGCATACGTTCATTCTGCCCTGAGAAAGAAGTGGAGCAGCTGACGCAGGCTCTGGGACCTGAGGAGACGCGCGTGAATGATTACTATGTTAGGGAAGCTACTGTCCTTGTTAGTATGAGGGGTCTCACCTAGGCTTTACTCAGCACAGACGGAGTCCACCTGGGTAGTTCCCAAGTGTTTACTTATAATGAAGCCTTGAGCGCAGACCTTGTGGTTAGGAGCTAGGTGATTACACGTTAGAGTAGCTTCCTTGGTTCTGGTTTCTAGCCACGTAGCGCTTGCTCTCTGCTGGTCTAAATATCCCAGAATTTACAGGCATGTTTGCAGATATCACGAATGATCCCCCCCCAGAGGGTGAGACTGACCACCTGAAATCTGATGGTTACTTTCTAGGCAGAGGCGTGGGGCGGAGGGGGAAGTGCTAGAGGAAAATCAAATTGGCAGGCTAGGAAAAGGAGGCAGAAAGTTTAGGAGGCATCATAGGGCATCGCCTTGGAACTGTGGAGAGTGGGACTCATCTGTTAGCCACAGAAACATGGAAACATGCACAAGGCTAGCACAAGAAGCAGCTCAACTGAAATAGCAAAGAGAATATACATATGAAATCGATGTATTTATATGTTCTTAGATTGAGGAAGAAAGGGGGATTGAGTGGGGAAAGATGCACTTTAGTATTTGTATTACTTTTTGAAACATGTTTGTGGTATATGTATTTTCAGTCGGTGAATTATTCCCCAGGGTACTGATGGAAGGTCAAACCAGTGTGTCCAGGGGTGCTGGTCTGTCCCTCTTCATCCCTGCAGTTCTGATGTGGCCCCACTCATTCTTGGTCTCAGTGTCTATGGCAGTGTTCTCTGAATGTTGATCAGCTTCTGTGGGAGGCAGATGCCCTGGCTATTCAGCTTCAGCACTATTTTCCTCCCAAAGTAGATAAACTATAGTGAATGACAGGTAAAAACAAACAAGGTTTCTTCAGTTGCATAATAGAGGAAGAAGAATTTTGAGATAATTCTCATCAGTAATTTTGGAGGCTTTGATAATAAGGCAATCCTCAGTATCGTGGAATTTGGCAAAATGAAACTCCCATCAATATTTAAATTTGAACTTGGGTCTAACTTTGTTTCTCTAAGCTGAGAGCAAGGAATCTAAGGCTTCTATAGTACGTTATTATAATACTATTTTAATATATATATACCATATTTCTCTTTAAAGTGAAGATACTATAGTTTTACTTATAAGTAAACCTAACCTCCAAAAGAATAGCCCAGCCAATTTTGTATCATACAATTTTTATTGTAAATTTGAAGATGTTATCAAATCACAGTATATGGTTATATTTATATGTACAATCAAAGGTTCTCATGACCATTCTATTAATAATTGAATCATAAAATGAACTTAATAGAGAAAGATATCTAAATTTGAAAATCTTCCTGAACTAGTTGCCTGAAATGAGAAAAAGTGAAAACTAAGTGTGCAAGAACCAAAAGTCTATTTTTTTAAAAAAATGGAGCAACAGAATAGTCATATCACTACATAGTTGATTACTTAGATAGTAAAGCACCATTTTAACTAATTATTTTTTAACTGCAACATTTAAGATTCCTAGGGTTCTAAACTCTAAGAAACATACCCACAGAGAAAGAAAGCAAATTTTGAAAATGTCTAAGGAATTTCTGGAAAAATCACGTGGAGAACAGATTATTTCAGAGTCCTCAATTGTTAAACTCTGTAACTCAAGGCTTATCAGTGGGCTCCACTGATTTCTATCTTCAAAATGGTGCTGAAACTTCTGTGGTACCCTGGAGAAAAAAAATGAAGAATTGGTGGCAGCACACTCACACTGTTGTCCTTAAACTTCCCCTTTGTTCTGCACGTACAGTAATGGAACAGGATGTTAGAGAAGCTGGTGGGGGGATGAGATTTGGGTAAGGCAGTCAGTGCTAGTTGTCTGGGGAAAAGGATGATGGAAAAATTACCCAGTTGTGATATTATTTTTAAAGAAAGAGAAGGTGTGTGCATGCAATTCCTCTCCCTGAGGATAGACCAATGGAGAAGCGAAGCAGAGGAAGTAAACATACAAAGGCACAGGCTGAATATCAGGGAAAAAGGTTCAACTGAACATAGAAGAGTTGCTGGAAGAAAGGCTGTTGGGGCACCGGCGGAGAAAGTGAATCGACAAAGCTCAGGAACTCTACGAGATGCAGAATGGCTCGGTGTTCTCAGAATTGTGATAAGCCTGTATCGTTACGTAGCTTATTTATCTCAGCATAAACTCTTACGGTTTCCTGTGATGTATCTTTATTAGCTTAACAAGAACTCATTATTTGAGATAGAGGAGAATCAATGTTTAGCTAGTATGCTCAGAGAAATTATTAGATTGTTAACACCCACCCCACCTATCCTGTCTTTTACAAGTTACGTTCCTTTGAAGACTTGTAGTTTGTATTCGCACAAGGCAAAGTATATATAAATATATGATTTCCTCTTCTTAGTACCTAAGCATCCACCCCAAAGGCTATGTTTACGTGGAGCTACCAGTTTAGCCTTTAAACTGAATTAGCTTGTCTATTATTGAAATAGTTTCCAAGCAATGTTAAATATTATCACAGCATCTGGATTTACTCATTTAATGTTTGAAAGACGTGTGTCTTGGAACTATTCAAAGCTGACTTAATTTTATTGCTTAGAGAAAATATTAGTGGAATCAACAATGACTTTCTTGAGTGGACATGAATGAAAAGCCTGCACAAATGGGGTGTAAGTATTTGATAACAGATATTAAAATGTAGCTGATCTCCTTCGAAGCAGGTTACTAATGCTATTCTTTGCACAGCTAACATGCCAGTCATTTAACTGATATGACTTTTCACATTCATGTTTTCAGATCTCTGGTCCTGTGTCTTCACCTTGTTTATAGAATGTACCCCTGGTTTTTGGTAATATCAACTTCTAAAGGTCTATTGATTTAGTTTAATTCTCCTGTCATTAATCAGGAAATGCCAGTTCTGTGAAGAAGGAAAGAAGAAAGGTCTGCTGTGTTTCATTTTGCCTGAGTGTGTTTCACTTTTTGGGTCTTGAATAAAAGTTAAGAAATACGGTGAGGTCCTGTGTGGGTGCTGCCTTGCTGCAACAGATACCAAGGGGCAGGTTAAAGACAATGCCCATGCCTTTGGGACAATTCCCCGTTGGATACAAGGTGACCTCAGCATGCCCAGTGGGCTATGTCCATGGCAAGAGGAATGCATTGATGTGCAAGACTTCCCATCCTGTAAGTCGTAAGAAGATAAACACGGGCATTTTTTCTACCTAATCTCTGATAGTTTGGAAAATAAGCTTAATTAGAATCACATGGTCATTGCAAAGGGGAAAATGTAGACACCAATGCCTGCTACATTGAAGAATTGATAAAAAAAAAACCATTAACCAGCATTTAAAACTGTTTAGAACATGCCCAATGTTATGTCTCTGAGCAGTGGAGATCAACTGTGAGGCTTTTAATTCCAGGAGTTTTTTCTAAAGAATTGATATTGCCAAAAATCAGAACTAAAGTGTTTTTAGTTATATTCCACCCTCCTCTCTACTTCCTCCTTAATCTTAAACATAGAAGCTAGGCCCATGCTTCTTATGTAAGTCCAGAATGGGGCATAAGTACCAACCTCTGCTTGGTGATCAGCATTCTCTTGGTAGTATCCTGAGGTCCCCGGTGAAAGAAGGGGATAGGGCCTGGGAGATTCAGGAAATTACTAACTGGGAAGAACTAGGCCCTGAGGGCTTGATCTGCTGGTCTGGGAAAATTTCTTCTCGCCTTTGGAGAAGAGCTGATGATTGTCATTGAGTGACTTAAGCAAAACATTACTAACATGTTTTCTTAAACATGAGCAAAACTTGGGCCATTTCCTAATGCCTTATGTTCTGGATAGCACCAGAAGTAAGGTTTCAGAATTAAGAGATCCAGTTCTGTTCCAAGATGAGTCTGAACCAATAGAAAGCAAACAGGTACAGATGTCCAAATGATACTGTTCACGCAAGCTGGGGCTCACTGCCCATCTTGGGCAGCAGCACCAGAGCTCCAGAGAGTTTATTTAATATTTACCTAGGAGACTTCGAAGACACAGGAGATGTTTAATGAAGTCACTATTTTGGCTCAAAACTCCCCCCTTCCTCCAAAAAAGCAAATAGGTAAACACATAAATGAAAGAAGCCCACAGAAGGGAGTGGGAAATAAAATTCTCTCAAGACATATCCAGACCATGTCACTGGTTGGTGTGGTTTTTGTGTGGGTTAAGATTGGAAGATGTGAAGACATAAGTATCCAGTACTTTATAACCAAAGCAATTAAAAGATGTTGGGTAGGGAACGTTGGCCAGTTCTATTTAATTTTGCATCACATTATCACCAGACTCTATCACTAGCCCAAGTAATCGGGCACCCGAAGAGGGAGATCGGGATGTGCAGAAGTTACCAGTGTGCAAATGATAACTACTGATGAAAGAGTCCTCGACTCAGTTAGTGGTTGGATGTGGTCACATCTGTTTGCTTCTGCCCATCTCTGTCTCCCCAGCAAGGAGGATACTCGGGGCATGATGCTATGAGTACTGGGTAAATGTGGTGAGAATGTGTGTGTGTGTATCTCTGCTTCTCAGTTGCAGAAACAGAAATGCTTTGGAGATTATGCGTAGAAAGAGTGTTATTATATTGGTGCTGAGTGGTATGTGTGCTTTTAAATTTGTTCTTGTATTTTAGTAAACTTTGAATAAAAGAATAAAGTTACTCTTTGATTCTGTTTGTTTATTTTTAAATTACTCTCTAGACCTTGCCCTTGGCTGGAACACATTCATGGTTGACAAGGGAAAGAGAATCCATCATTCTAATATTTATTCCTTGGTATTTGTGGGCAAAATCACCAGCAATGCCAGGTTATTTTAATCTCGTGCTGTGTGCCAGAGTCTTCAAGGAAATCAAGACAAGTTAAAAGAAAATCTTAAGATACTTTCCATATTCATGAACAAGTTGCACACGGAATTCATGGAAAGGGGCCTGTTAAAGAGACTGTGGAACAGATTTCTACTTTGTTGTATTTACATCTCAGGTTTTCTAAGTGCAATAAATAAACTTTCCAGGAAGTTAAATACATATCACACACATAGAATATATGTATGTATGTGTGTACACATATATATGTGTATATGTATACATGTATAATTTGTTATATAATTGGCAGTACAATAATGTGGAGTTAAAAAAAATCAACATCTGAACACATTTATATCAAGCACTTCCCACTATGATAAGGTATAAAGGATGAGAATGGTTTGCGAAGGCAGTGACCTGTTAATGACAAGGATGTAATTGCAACATGGTTAAGTACGTGCATTTTGTTCCTGAAAACAGGTGACTTAACCAAAGTATTACTATCTCTTGAGACTCTTGCTCATGATTTCCTACACATAGTAATCTAATTAATATTTGTAGTGTCATGTAATATTCCAGAATTTCAGTGGAATTTTAAAGAATCATTACTTTGACACCTATTGATTGAGTTTCTATTCCTTGCAGGGCGCATCTGCACTAGGTGTAATGTGATGTGCAAAAGCAGTAAAACTAAACTCACAAAGACATGACTCCCTCGAGGAACCTGTCATGGATTCGTCAAGACTGCAGGTGGCAAACTCCAATTAGTCTGCAAAAAAAGTGAATATATTGGCTGATAAAAGAAAACCGTGGAAATGGCTGGGATGAAACTTACCTCAGGGAGAGCAGGCTCCAGTGACTTAGAAACCTTCAGTGCTTGCTAGGTCTTCGGTGTCTTCTCTTTTTTGGGTATCAGCTTTTTCTTCTAGACCAGCCTCTCCTTACTCTGGGTAACCCGGCTAGGGGAAGCTCCTCACTGACATTCTATCAGCTGGCTTAAGTAGAGTTTGAAACTATCTCGAGAGAAGGACTTGAACTGGACCAGCTTGTGTCACATGTCCACTCTGTTGTCATGGGACTAGGGTCTGTTACCAGAAGGACTGTAAGAAATGCTGAGATTATACAAAGGTATCGGAAGTTAACTCAATGGCAGTTATTTTCAACTTACCCTAGAATGAGGGTTAAATAAGAATACTTACTTAACTTCCCTAAAAGTGAGGGGAACCTCAATAAGTGACTGGGTGTGTACAATCATTAAAAACATTCGAAGAAAGGGTAGAGCTCTCAGACTAGACTTTGTGGAGTTTAAAAGGACTTGAGAGGCTGGGCAAGATTTAGAGAAGAAGATGGACTGTCTTCCATTTAGTAAGTCAATATGTATTTACTAATATGTATTTACGAAGTATCTGTCAGTTGTGACTAAGGAGGCCAAATCAGTCAAAAAATTAAGACACTAAAATGTGTTGATCATTTTTAGAAGAGAGAATTCAGTCTAATTCATAAAAGTTGAGAAAACTGAGGATAGGAGATAAATTTTCTATTTCTTTGTGTTTCTTCCGCTCTCGGGTGAGCAGTTACATAACTAACATTAAATCACTGAGTGTTTGAGCACCTATTAGTATAAATAAAGCACTAGTCATCAAAATACTACCTTCAGTGGGTGTACATACAAATGGTATAAACTATGGTTTCCCACACTGTTAAGTGTTTATAGTCTGGCTGGTAAATGAAAAATCTAAACATGATATTATCTCATGTACTAGATATGAATCTCCATATGCACTGAGCCTTAAAACCTTGAAGTTTTGCCATTTAACTTCGTCTAGAAGGGCTTCTAGAGTAAACTGGATCGAAAAACATAGAATAGGGTGTTTTGTAAAAATAAAGAAGCCTTCCAGCCAACACTGAGCCCTGAAAGACATTCCAGGAAAATTTGTAATAAAATTCCTCAGTATAATAATGTGTTGTATTGGGGCGTTTTGCAGAGGCATTCACAATCCTTTCCCAGTTTTCACATGGGTAAGGATTCACTGTGGCTTAGTCATCTTCGTCAACCCCTGTGGCCTAGATTTTGTGCAATGGACAAAAGGAAGATATGCTGGAGTAAAAGGCATAAATTACCAACATACACTAGTGTAAAAGTTTGAAAACTTAATCAAGACAAATGCAAGGTTTGTTGTTGTGAAATTAACCAGCTGTCCTGGGTAAGCCTGCACATCCAGCCATTGGGAATTCATGGGTCTACCTGCAGGAGCCGACTGGCTAGAGCCCTGCTTCCCTTGCAGCCCAAACTCTTTGTACCCTGTAGGTTAAACATCCAAGGGGGAGCAGTTCTGGGTCTTGTAGCTGCATAGGTCTTTTGGAGTAGCAGAAGAGATTCTAGGTACCTCTTGATAAATGGTAGCCACTGTAACTGGCCCAAATCAGGGAAATTGAACTGAGAGAATGCTAGGGATCCAGGAACCCACCCATTCCCATTCCTGCTTCAAAAAAGGGAGTACAGCTTCTGTTTCCTCTCCTGGCTTTGCTGTCCACTTTGTATTTCCCCATTCCCTCCAGAAAATAAAGAACTTTAGCCTGAAATCATGAGCATGAATATGGGATGCGGTGGAGTGTATTGTATTATTGATTTAGTCTATGTACTTCAGGCAGAAATCTTGATTCATACATTTTATTTATTTCTTAAATATATTTTTATTGAAGTACAGTTTCTGGTGTACAGCACAATACTTCAGTCACAAAGGAACATACATACATTTGTTCTCATATTCTTCATCATAGGTTACTGCAAGATATTGAATATGATTCCCTGTGCTGTACAGTATAAATTTGTTGTTTATCTATTTTATATATATTAGTATCTGCAAATCTCAAACTCCGAATTTCTCCCTTCCCACCCCCTTCCCTCCCTGGTAACCATAAATCTGTTTTCTATGTCTCTGAGTCTGTTTCCATTTTGTAAATAAGTTCATTTGTCTTTTTTTTTTGATTCCACATATATAAGTGATTCATACATTTTAGACAACATGTGTGAGGCAATTTACTAACATGTGTACTGGCCAGAGGCATAGATGTCCTTATAGGCCACTCCCATAGGAGGTGGCATCCCCACTTAATGTTGCAGGATGGTTATTCATCAGGTGTTCCTACTTCGCCACCAAGATTTCATTGCTCTGTATGTTTCTGTGCATTTATACCTTATGGATTACCTTTGTTACCTTAATTGTTTGAGGTTTAGGTGCTCTACCAATTCCACTGGGAAGAGTGCATTGTAAATATTTGGCATAGGAAAATTTCTTTAAAGTGAAGAAAATCCTAAGGGAAAATTTAGGAATTCCCATCCTCTGATGGTACCAGGGAAATCTAATCTTCCATTTCCAAACCTCCTCCACTTTTATAATGGCTGCACTTTCCTTCATCAAACCCAACACTAATTTTTTTTTTTTTGGTGAACTTCCCTACCGACTCTACCCATTTACATGTGCTCCCTATTATACTTTAAGGATGTATAAATATAGGCTATATGTTATAATGACAGAAATCTCCTAAATTTATTCTTCCTTATGGAAAAATTTCTTTTGACATATATATTCTCAGTTTGTGCACATTTTAAAAAAGCATCTCCCTTGAGTATACTGAGGAGTACCCACTCATATTTTTCTAAGTTCTAAGTTCTTGCTTGCATCGATGTCTTCGTTCTCTGTTCTGGTGCTCAGGGCTTCCGTACAGGTGATGAGTGCTATCAGGCCCACGTTTTAGTTATACCTTTAGAAGATTTGTCATTATCTGTTATAGGCACACAATTATCTACACTTCTATAATGTATTATTGATAGTAATCTATGTAGTTCTCTCCGTGGTATAAAATGGTTACCTTCTAAGCCATAGAGAAAAAATAATCCCCTTATGTAGTGAAGAAGAGAGATAGGTTGAACCTCAACTGAATTGAATTGTCAGTTCAGTTGTGACCAGATGGAGCAGACAAGGCATGTTCCTACTGGTTGTGCCATGATTATAGAAAAGACATCAAGAAATTATCCAGGGTAAAGGCTGTATCTGCTTCTTGATGACTGAGGTACACCTGGTTACACCCATAGCCCAGGAACACCAAACATGTTTGTCTGCTGGTTTTGCATGGCGCTGGAAGGCATCCAAGTAACATACAAGTGGCAGTAATCCCTTGAGTGCTGTGTTGCTTCACTGACTTCTTATTCTTTGGGAACAGTCTTCTAGAGTCACCAGTGACCTCCTTCTAATCTAGACAAGTCCGGAGGTATTTTTTTTTTTTTCAGTATTCACGCTCTTTCATGTGGCCCTTCTAACTCTTCTACTTTCTCTTTTGCTGTTCTCTCCTCCTAGTCTATTTAAAGTGGATGTTCCTATAGGATTATATTCTATATGTATTCTGTTTTTGTCTTGTATTCTTTCTGAAATAAGGAGAGAGGAAAATGTCATTGCAAATTACACTAGGTAGCATTAGGTTTGCCTGTGAGGAGCAGAGACCTAAAATAACAATGACTTAACCAAGACAGAAGCGTATTTTTCTCTCTCATGTAAAAATCCTGAGGTAGGTGATCTGCAGCAGATATGGGAGCTCTGTTCCATGAAGTCCTTAATGATCTAGGTTCCTTCTAGTTTTCTGCTCCACCCTCAAGATGCCTTATGGTCCCAGGCAGAGGGTAGAAAGGAAGAGAAAAAAAGGGGTCAAGGTATGTATCTACCAGCTATCTTTTAAGGAGATTCTTAGAAACTGTTTTATAGACATTTCCACTTATATCCCACTGGCCAGAGCTTTTGTCACAGAGGATGCTACCTTCAAAGAAGGTTAGAAAATATTGCCTTTATTCTGGACAGCCATGTGACCACCTGAAAATTCTATTACTGTAGACGAAAGGGAAAACATGTTTGTAAAGATATTTTCCTATATTTTCTTCTAGCAGTTTTAATATTTGCTTTTCATAAATATGTGTTTTACCCACCTGGAGCTAATTTTGTGCATGGCATTAGGTAAGAAATTTAATGTGACTTTACTGTCTTAACATGTAATTATTACAGCATCTTTATCTCTTTTCTCCCAGTGATCTATGATGCCAGTTCTGACAAGTTTCCATATATACATGACTCTGTCCCAGGCTCCCTATCCTGAATTTTTCTTGTCTATGTGTTTTTCTCTAAACCAGTATTATAATACATCTTTATTATTGTGTTGAACCATGAGGAATTACCAATATTTGTTCTTGACCTATAAAAATATCAGCTTCGTATGATTCAAAACTAATGTTATAGTTTCACAAACAGCTTTGTTATTACAAATTCCTTCCCTTACTCTCCCTATACATATTTGTCTTGCTATAGAGCATCTTGGCTATTTTTGGCACTTTGTTCTTTCAGATAAATTTTAGAATCAGTTTTCTAAGTCCCAAGAAAGAACAATTTTTAGCACTTTAATTGAAATTTTGTTGCATTTTCAGTGATTTTGTGGGATAATTGCCATTTATGTGGTACTGCATCTTTCTGTTCATGAACGTGATATAGCTTTCCATTTATTTAGGTATTCTTTACTCGTTTTCAATGAAGTTTTGTAATTTTCTCAGTGTCTCACCCATATTCTGAAATGTTATTCTGGTGCAATATTTTAGTTCTATCTGTCTCAAATTATTATCATTTCATACACAGACATTGTTCATTTATGTTTACTTTCATATTTGCCAATTTATTGGCTTGCCAGTCCTTGAATGTCAGGGCTACCTCATGAGATGAGTTTCTTTTTTCCTAAAATTTATTCTTTAAATATTCTCCTAGGGAGGATGCATTTGTAGTAGACTTTTTCCTCTTTCCCTCTTTTCTTATCTAAAAGTATCTTTCTTATCTTGTTCATTAGGGAGGGATATAATTACAGATAATCTTTTGGAGATAGTTTACTGGTGTTTCCAGTATTGCTGTTGAGAATCTGTTGACAATCTGTTACCAATTTGTTTGCATTTTTCCCTTCCTCTGGGTACATTTTAGATTTTCTCTTCATCATTAGTGTTTAGAAATTTCACTACCATGTACCGAAAGCGCGATTTCCTTTTATTTACTCTTACTGGTATTGTTGTTCTTCCTAAATTGAAGATACATGTTTTTCAAGGAGTCTAAAAAATTCAAAGCCATTAATTCTTTGAATATCAATTCCCCTTTATTTATTTGTTTTACTCATCTGTTAACTCCAAATAGTTGTATGTGTGTCATTTTATTCTCCAAGTCTTTTGTTCCTTTTTTTTTAATTTCAAGGGCACTGCATTTTTTGTTTGTTTCTTCTAATTTCTCCTGTGAGTTCTTCAATTCTCTCTTCAGTTGTGTCTAATCTTTGTTTAACCAATTCATTGAGTTTTGAAGTTCAAACTTTATATTACTAATGTATGAAAGTTCTTTTGAATTCTTTTTCAAGTTTTCCTGGTTATTTCTTGAAAGTACCATGTTAAATATTCTTACTGTTAATTTTTTCTTTTCTCTCAGAATTTTAAAAACATATTTTAAGGTAATTTGTGTCTGATTATTCCAACTCTTAAGACCTTAGACTGTTTTTCTCTTATTCGTGTTGTTAGGGCATTGTTTACTTGTGTTTTTGATAGTTTTAAGTTATATCCTTCCTTTTGGCAGATACTAATTTTTGGAGGTTCTGAGGAATCCAGGTTATGGTAATTGTTTCTCTAGACAGGATTTGTGTTTCCTTCTGTCAGGTGTCCTGGGCCATTAAAAACCTGGAATCCCTTAAAAATTAATTTTCCTTGCAGTTTCTAGAATGCAAAGGTAAGTGTTCAGGTCTCTGTCTCACCCGTGTCAGGGCAGGCTTGTCATTGTGAATTTCCAGTGGAGACTCATTTTCCCTTTCTACCAAAGCCTAAGGCAAACGCGTTCCTCTGTTGGTCCCTTTCCCAGTGGAGGAATTTTTTTCTGGCTTACATTTTTATTGAGGGACTATCCCTTCAAGTAACCCAACTTTCTGCAGGAGTCTCAGATTTGACTTATTACTGTGACCCAGACTGAGGTCTTTCTCACCTTTCCTGATCTTGGCCATTAAAACCTGAGCATCTAAATTCCTGCTGTCAGGAAATGCCATGGGCAGCCTGACTTTGTAACACTGGCTTATGTTCAGTTTCAGGCTCTTTTAGGCTTCTTTTTTTTTAACCTGTAAATTTCTCTTACTTTTTTGTTGCTAATCTATGCTGTAAAGTCTATTTGTTTTCTTTTATCCAGAATTTCTTAGTTTTTTTAGTAGGTTTTTCTGGAATATGCAGCTGATACTATTGCTCAAAGAAGAACTTGATGGTACTCATTTTTATGGGATGTTACTCATTCTCATGGTTATTATCATCAATTCTATGCTAATGACAGTGAATCCCAAATCTTTATCTTCAGACCCAAACTCTCATCTGCTTTCTATTTCCTATAGGCATTTGCTAATACGAACTAGCAACTTGAATATTTTATCAGCTGTTAAAGCTTGAGGTGTCCAAAGTGGAATTTATCTTCTTTAAATAGATTCTCCCATCAAACACTGCTACTTTGTTATTTTAACAAGTCAACATTATTCCTAGTGTTTAGCCTGTAAAACTTGAAAATACTAGAAATCATTACTGCACCTTCATACCCTTTATGCAACCTGCCACTCTCTCCTCTCTTTGCCCCAACATCTATATTACAAATTATTTTAAATTCGTACGCAGAATACAAGATCCTTACCATCTCATTTAAGATTAATTTGATAATTTAATGCATCTAATATACATGATTGTCTGCTTTGTGAAAGGTAGTATGCAAGCTGCTGCAGATGATACAAAAGACACGCTGTTTGGCTCTTAAGATTCTTGGTTTCAAACAACTAATAAGAAAGAAGTTATCTACTAAATTCATATATGTTATTATTTAATCAAGTACTGACTAAATATAAACAATTGTGTAAGTGTCTGGATCAGTCAATACATGTATGGGCAGGAACAAGAAGGAAGAGATTTCAATGCTTGCTGGAGTTAAGAAATGACACTAAAGACAACATAAAGGAAAGCAGAGCTGAGAGAGATGGTTTACTGATGACATCATTTCAGTACCTGCTTTAGCCATACTTATAGTCTAGCTAAGTAAGTCAATAAATTCCTTTCCTCCTTTTTCCTTTGGCTTCTTTTTGCTAACCTCTTTGTCACCTTTTAAAAACAAAACTATTATTTAATTCTAGCTATCCTTCACTCTCCTTTAGGGGTCTGGCTGGGGTTTAATTTCTGTAATAAGAAGGATCCAAGTTATCTACCTTCAGTGAGGTTTTGATCTTGCAATGCCCCAAAATTCCCTCCACCTCCTTGACCCCATAGTTACTACCTATTCCTCAAGACTAACTGACCCTTTGAAGTGTGCAGGGGGTCCTCTTACAGTTTTCTGGCTTTTTTGGGGTAGCTATTATATTCATTTTTTAATCTTTTTGAACAAAATAATAAAATAACATGTAGCTAAATATTAACTATTTTCTACCTCCCTTAATTTCTGTCTTTAATGAACATTTAATTTCTTGCACTGAATCTTGTGGCAACAGGACTGTTCCCTGAGAAGTAAGAAAAAAATGTTTATTCCTCCTACATCTGCTACCAACTGCAGTGAAGTCTCTGATTCAACACGCATATTTAGAAGACAATTACTCTGTAACTTGATGGGTGGTCAGGAACATTTTCTTCCAATATAAATATTCTTGCATCATAGGCATGCCTTAAAATTCAGCTTCAAACAAACAAAAAAAGTCAAATTATTGGCTAGAAATGTGAATTATTAAAAGTTAATATTTTTACTTAAATCCCCAAAAATGTGTTCTACCATTTGACCCATTAATTTACTGCCTTGTTTGAGCCTCTGATTCTAATTTGCCACTAATAATAATAAGTTTGAAAAACAAAAACCCATCATGGATTATGTGTGGTATATTTGCTGGACTCTATGAACTATGAAGAAATTCTGCTTTTAAATCTGGAGAAACATCTTTAGATTATTCACTGTTGGAGATTCTGTTACAGATGCTACTGCTAATTTATGACTATGAAGGCAGAGATCTTATTTGTATTGTTCATTCTTTTCATCTCCAGTGAATGCCCAATACCATTCCTTGAACATGGTAGATGCTCGATAAATATTTGTTGAATAAATGAACAAAATAATGTATATAATAAGGTTAATACAGCATCAGCACTTTTGTTTGTACAAGCTGGACCTTGTATAGCATCCTGTTTTCAGAACCACGTTGCTATATGGCCACTCAAATAATTTTGCACCCAAATCTCAAAGCATTTATTTGTCATTCGATAAGGCAATGTGCTAATGCAGATAGTCCATAAGCAGACCGATGACTCGAGCGGTCAGAATACCTAACTTCCTGTAGCCCTGTTGCCAACCAGCTATGTGACCTAGGGGGCTATCAGCTTCCTGGTCTAGTTTCCTTATTTGATTTTCCTACGTTCCTTCCAGCTCTTACATTCTGTATTTTCTATCTACTTCATAAGTGTTTCATGTTCCAATCTGACTGGACTACCGTTGAAGGTACCAGCCATTCCTGCTGCTACTCAACCTGAGTAGTTTTCATGCAGGAATGCAAGTCTGGTATGATCAGACCTTCATACTCTTTAAAAAAAAGAAAACCCAGAAATCTGGATTTTTCTGTGAAATTTCAAACTTTTAAATTTTGGCCACAAAGTCAAATAGTTTTAAAACACTGTTTAATCCAAACAAAACACAACAGTGGGCTGGGTTTGCCGTATGCACTTCCAGTTTATGCTTTAAAGAATTTTTTTTTCTACCCTTACCATTTTCAATGACTCCTTTTCTGGTCAGTGAAAAACAGCTGCTGCATATTATTTTTCTGCTGCTTCCACAAAGCATAGATCTAGCCCAGGAGAGTCAGATCATGATATGAGTAGGTTTCGTGTCCTAAGATGATACTGTAGTTATGACATAAGGAAAAACTATATTCTTGGTTAAATTTCATTTAATATTTTCAAGAGGTAATATGGCTAGTTATTTCACATAGGTCTCAATCAGAAAATTGTCACATTATTTGGGAAGAGGAAAGGGAAATCTACAAAGGGCTTCAGAAGTACTGCAGTCAGCAATTCAGTAGAAGCCTTAGGATCTACTTCCCATTTTTTGATCAAAGAGAGATGACATAAAGTAGGCTCAGCGAGGGAGGAACGCTGTTTCATACCTAACCCGATTATATTCCTTCTACAAGCTTTATGCCTGGTGAAGTCATCTAAACTTAATTAAAATTTAATTGAATCAGAATGGTATGGCAGAAAGTCACATGGATATTGGAGTCATACTTAGGTGTGAATCTAATTTCACTGAGTAACTGCATGACCTTAAAGTTATTAATCTTGTCTGTGCCCCAGACATCTTTTCTACAAAAAGAAATAATAGTACTTGCCTCTGATGCTTGTTGTGGGGAACAGAAATAACACACGTATAGATATGAAGTCTATAATGCATAATAGCCAAACTTAAACTAAATTTAGCATGCTTCGTTTTGGAGTCCCTTCTATGTGACAGTTTCTGTTTGTGCCTTATAGAGGAAATAAACATGAGCCAAGCACTGTTCCTGCTCTCTCTTGAGTGCTCTAATTGGTGAAATAAAGTACAATCACATATATCTTTCACTTATGGTAGATTCGAATGTATATTAACAAACAGAAAGCATAAGAGCACATTTAAGAGAGAGTTCTATATTCTGTGCCTCCTTTGTGGACACTTTTATTATACTCCTCACTGAAAACTCCTTTGTCTTGATTATTTCAGAAGGAAGAGGTGGATTGAGAAGAGATGCTGGGAAATATCTTCCAGGAAAATGAAACAGCACAAGAAAAATCATATTCTTCAGAAATCATAGGACATATGGTGAAGACATTGAGGAAAAATGTAATGGAAACAGGTTTTAGGACGACGGTGATAATAGCAGAGGCAACTCCCCTATCACCAGATACCAACAGAAGTGGCCGAGGTCATGCAAAAATGTGGGAAAACAAAAATTTGTGAAATCCACCTCCTAAAAATATTAAGAAATGAAGCTCGAAAAAAAGCAGATTAAATAAAGAATAGAACAGTGACCTAAAACTTCTCCTCCTATGACGAGCGAGTGCTCTCTGCTTGGGAAAGTAGAGATTAGAGGAGACCAGTGGATGGAATCGATGAGACTCCAATTCAGAGGAATTCATAAGAAGCAAAAACTAGAAGACCAAAAGTTTTTATCCCAGAGAAATGGAGGAAGTACACTGGGCTTCTCCTGTTAGTAGAGGCCAAGTGTGACTGAATTTCTTTCTTCTTTTATAAGGACTTATAAATAGGGAATATCACTAAACCCACAAAAATGGTGCTCTATTCAAAAGGATAAGACCACATTTTCTTGGGTGGAAGAAGAAAAATTAGAAGTATTTTTATTCTTATTATTGACATGATTCAAAAAGTTGTCCCAGCTATGAAAATTGAGCAAACAGTTGTGAAAGGCTATATTCTGAAATCATGAAAGATTTCATGGGAATTTTTAAAAAGACTTAATTACAAGAAGGTGATGAAAATTTGATGGAGTACTCTTAAAACTGAAAAATAATGTTTGAAACTTTGAAAATATCTCCAAGAACCTATGGGATTAAAAAATGGAATTCTTGAGAGGAAAAAAAGAGAAAATTGGACACAGATTTAGAAAAAAATCTACGCAAAGTAGAACATAAATCAGTAAGGAACAAAAGAATAGAAAGAAGTAAAGAAGTAAAAGAAGAAATTGTCCTAAAATGAAGAAAGATCCAAATCTTTGATTGAGAAGACTTGCCAATTATCAGGTAAATTTAATGCAAATATACAAACATCTAGATATAGCTTGTTGAAATTTTTAAAAATTAACGATAAAGGTATTTGAAACAGGTTGAGTTAAAAAGAACTAAGATGGGGTTGGCATCATTGTCTTCTCCAAAATTCTGAAGACAGTAAGAATAGAAAATGAGCAAAAGGATTTTGGTTTTTAAAAGATTGTCACATGAGAGTTCTATACTGATTAAAATTGCCATTATTGTGTTTGGGCAGTGGAAATGTATTTCCTGCACCCTTCTGAAAAGAGAAACTACACATACACACACATCCTAGGAAGACAATTGACAGTTAAAACGAAATAGAACAGTGAACTTAAGAATAAGTAAGTTACAGTTAAAAAAAAAAAAGATTGGGTTTTGAGCAATAAAACTCTTTGAATATGGATAATTATTTCTTGGGTGATGAAACATTTTTGCTATCAATCATAATAAGAAAAGTAATAATAATAATTTGGTCTTAAAATTCAAATTCTATAAACAAAAACTGGGAAACTGATGAGGAAATGAAAGAGTGATATAAAATCATGTCTTACCATGTACTGGGAAAATAAATGGGTACTTTTCATTCTTGATGCTAGTAAGTAGAGAATAATTAGGTTATAATATATTTTTAAAATAGTATTAATCTTTTCATCATTTCCAGAAAGAAAACATGATGTGAAACTTCTAAACCATTGGAGGAAAAAGGAGAAAAGGTAACCTTAGATAAGTGTCATGACAGAATAATTGAATAAGCAGTAACTGTATACACTGAATGTCAGCCATCGTTAGTTCTATCTTATCTAAATATGGAATAAGTTTACTTGTTTGTTAATGCTTGTCAATATTTTACATATTTTTGTAATAAACACAGATTACATAATAAGAATTTATATTTTGAGCTAGTGCAGCAAATGTTATTTTAACAATTAAAAATTATTTTCAAGTATAGAAAAATGCTACTGATACTCTATTAAATGATAAAAGATGCCTTCACTTTTGTAAATAAGTAGATAGACATGTGTAGATAGACTGAAATATCTTCCAATGGTGAAATTAGGATTAAAATTTATATCATTTTTCATATTTTTGCGTGAGTTTTCCACAATTACCCAAGATTATTTTTGTAATAACAAAAACAAACAACCAAATGCTGTCAAGAGCTTGGCTGGAGCTACATTGTGGAGAACTTGAATACCAGGCTAAGGGGTTTGGTCAATGGGGAGCCACTGAAGCTTTTTAAGAAGGGAAGTGATGTAAACAGATTTGTATTTTGAGAAGATTAAGACAGAAGTCTTGTTATTGTTTAGATTGGATTCAAGTAGAAAATTGACTGGAATTTATTGTAATGGTCTAGACAGGAAACAATAAGGGCCAGAACTAAATCTCTGCAGCAGGGATAGAAAAGAGGAGAGGCATTGGATGTAATAAAGAAACAGTCAAGGGGACTTGGTGACAGCATTTAGTGTTAGAGAGTTCAGAAAAGAGAGGAACCAAAGAGACGGAGAGGCAAAGTTGTTGCGAAAACAATGGTGCTCTTAAGAGGGATAAGACAGTGAAGGGATGCATGAAGAGGGAAAGGTTTAGGAAAAAGGATGGTGAATTTGATTTCAAACGTGTTAAATTCCTGCTGTTGAAGAAACATCACACCTTTGGACTTTATGGGATAATGACTGCACTCCACCTAAAATACTCTCTTGGAGCTATAATGGTCTCATTAAATGATCTTTCCCTTCCTTGATGCACATGGGCAGAAATCCAGACACTCCCAGCCCGCTCTGGCCAGTGAACCACACAAGTGCCTGCTTCCTTCCAAGCTTTGAGTTTAGAAGCATAGTTCTAAACTCAATGTCAGAGACTCCACATAGGTCAAAGTGTGCCTAGGTGATTCCTGGTAGTCCCAGCCAGCCATCACTGCTCTTGGACCATGGCTACTGAGGTCTCTGACCTTGGCTCAGCACTTTATAGGGTCAACCTCTCAAATAGGGTGTGTTCCTTTATACTCCTCCCCTCATTTCTATACTGCTCTGGGAACCTGAGATGCTAAATCCATTTCTCAGCACTTGCAGTCCTCTTCCCCTGTCTGTTCTTCTCCCAAGAGTGAACTACACTGTTGTTCTTTTTCTCTTGACCCCACTGGATAGCCAAGGGGTAACTGTTTTGGAGGAGGATTCCATCCTGAGGTGGGTGTCCACTCCACATGGCTCAGGCTTTTTGTAGTAAAAGATGGAGGCAGATGTGGAAAAGAAGGTGAGTGGGCCAGAGGATGGGACCTTCATTTGTGCTTTTGCTGTGAATCATGCAATCTACCTGGGAGAAGACAAACACAAGGCAACTGAAGGGCATTTAAAGTCTAGGAATATATTAATATTTTGGTTACTGGTACTAATATGCTGAGTGTACTGGCTGGCAAGGGAAAAATTAGGTACAGATTTTTTTTATAAGGCATTTTTTTCTAAACCACAATTAGAGGCCCCCTTGAAGAGTTTTCTTTCCCTTTGTGACTCACAGAAGACTGAAATCACTGTTTCCTACTGAGGGGAACACATGAAAAAGGAGGAGATGTATCACACTTTGGTCTACTTTATTGGCCTGGTTCCTAAATAAAGACCATTTCCCGCATATTCCTCCTTAAGCCATGCCTCCTTCCATGTCCTTAACACCATGCATAAGCCCCAAATTGCTCTTGTAGAGTAGATTTAGTCACTTAAGTGATGTACATCTCTGCTTCCATCCCCTTTTTACAAACCCTCTCTACACTGAGCCCTACTGCCTTCTTTTATCATGTAGCCCTGAGTTTAATGGCCATACCTGGTTGGATCAAAGGAGAGGGACTTGAGCTAATGTTCCTAGGTGTTAGGAAGTCGTGATGGTAGATTGCCTAACATGTTATGTTGGACAATATGCAACCAAAGGAGGCCAATTGAGATAAAGAGAAGACAGAGAGAGGCCAAAAGGCAGATAAGAGAAATGAAATAGCTTCCCCACTCCTGGACTTCCAGCCCAGTTCTTATCCCTGTGGAGCCCTGCTCTTCCTTCTCTTCTCTCAGCTGCATGCAAAATCTCTTATGTGTAGGCTTTTGTATGAGCTAGCTAGATGTCTATTCCTTGTAACAAATAATCACAAAGACCCTTATGTCAGCTACATCTGGGAGAACTTAATCCTTTGCTCTTAAAGATTCACTGGTTGACTCTACTGGATTTGGTCATGTTGACCATTTATCTGTCATATAAGGATGCTGCGGCAGGAAAGGTTACACAGATTGCCAAGATCACTCTGATAACTGATAGGAGATCTGAGTGCCATATCTTGGCTTGGTTTTCTTCCTTTGGCTGTCCTCATATTAAACTCTGTTCTACAACTCAGTCCTACTTCATATATACTGTTAGTCAAAATAGGATCAACAACTTATCAAAAATATCTACAAGCTGCTTGGTACAGTATGCAAATCCAATTCTTTCCTGGTTAACAAATGTTTCCTCTCTTTTCCTTATAGGCAGTCTCCTTTCTTGGTTTATTCTAAATGCTATACTGAGTAAAGAGGCCAGTGAGCAAAATTTCTGTATACGTTCTTTTTACCCTTCTGATTATACATTGTTCAAACAATGTTCCTGACTTTGCTAGAAACTGCTCCCTGGGAAGGCAAGATAATAAACTTAAATTCATACTCAACCCAATCATTTGGCAAAGCTGTTAAAACACTGGCCATTTGAACAGTATTCCAGAGCTCCTTCACTGACCTCTGGTCTCAAAACTCAGTTGATCCTCACTGTGGACAGTCATAGGCAGTGAGAAGCCTGAAACCATCTCCTTTTTCCTGATCCTCCTCTTCTATTGCTCTGATTTCTAGGGACCCCTTTCCTGCACGGCTTGGACTGCCCAGAAGGGATTCTCTGCATATCAGCCACGGATTAAATGCAGTCCACTGTGGAATTGTACTTAGCAGAGAATATGGTTGGCAGGTTTTCTCCAACCTACTTCGCAAATAATTTTGGCTCACATTCCAAAGTGTTACATTGTATTTAGACCCTCATAGCCAATAGGTAGGTAAAGGGAAAAGGAAGTTATAGGTTCAAATTTTATAATGCATTTTCAGTTTACAAAATGCTTTCACCACATAAGTTTACTTGTTTTCAGAAATCTCTGTGAAGTAGATACTATTATTTCCATTTTTTACTGATGAGCACACACATCTGGGAAGTTAATGACTTTGATAAACGGCAAAGCTAAGACTTGATCTGCAAATCAGTGTTTTTTTTTCCCCTGTACTCTGCTACCATTCATTTCTTCAGTCAACAAACATTTCTTGAGTACCTGTCTGGGTTGGGCGCTGTGCTGGAAATTGAGCGTACAGTAGTGAACTTCTCTCTGCATCTTGGGAGATCAGAAAAGACTTTGCAGTAGGAGTGGAGTCCAAGCTGAGGCGGGAAGAAGTGGTAGATGTTACTCAGGCAAAGTGGGAGGGCTGGGAGCATTCCAGGCAGACCAAATTTTTATCTCTAACCTCTCCCAGTGGACCTGAAAAGGAGAAATTAGTCAAGGAAGCTGAGAGATAAATTTCCACAATTGTGTAATCTCATATTTAAACATGAAGATATGCATCCGTTAGATTTCCCTTTTCCTTTAACTGTCTTGTCACTACCTCCATAACACCAAAGAAAAATATTGTGTCTTGTCACTACCTGCTCAAGACCAAAGAAAGTTTAACACTTTTCAAAATGGCCTTTGATTTGTTTTCACTAGCTTAATGAAAACTCTTTGGCAATCTGGTTTGTTTCCACTATCTCAATGATAGTTAAAGATAGAACTTTGACCGTTTCACAAGAACTGTGAAACTGCCTCCTCTTTTGAGGCCACCCTTTACAAAGGCTGGCCTACTTTTTCAAAAGCCAAGTAGTGTAGGTGGCTCACACAGCAACCATTAGAAAGAGGGCTACTGGCGGCAGGAGCAAGGTCTGTTCCTCGGTATTCCGTGGGGTGTTTGTGCAGATAGGAAACACTTCTAACCAGTGAAGCAAAGTCCCAGCTCCTTTAACCACACACAGGACAGCCCTCTACATAACAAAGACTAACAAAGCCACAGGCAGGACAGCCTGCTTTGGATGCATTAGAAGGCTGACGTTGTCAGCCCTCAGATTGGCAGTTGTCAGAAAAGAGGAAAGGATTGAATCCTTGCTGAATTATTAAGTCTTCATCGTCTTCCTAATGAATCCCATATTCCACTGGCTTGGAGCAGAGTCAGCCCCCAAGCAACATAATAAACATTGCCTTTGGAAGCAGGAAAGAATTCACAGGGGTGAGGTAAGAAGATAGTTTACAATAGAACACTGAGAACAGCACTAGAAGGAAAGAGAGGAGAGAACAGTGTAAAGAGCAGGACCCAGATGAGCTGGCTGAGGCTTGATTCCACATGACATGCACAAGGAGATAAACCCAGGACACCTCCATCGGCAGTATGGTTAAAGCCCTGCGCTAAGTCATCGCTGAGATAGCTATTTCTAAGTGAATTCATTGTACGTAGCTAGGATGGCAGTTTATGAGGGAAAAACTCACTACAAGGTCCATAATACGGGGCTATTTGAAGAACAAGGGGTGTGGTCAGACCCCTGCTGCTGGTTCAGTGGCTCAGGAGGCTTGATCTCAGGGTAAATGAATCTGTTTATAAATGAATACATTAAGGCTTCAGAAAACACTTTTAGAATGACTCTTACAAAATTATTATTTTATTAAAACTAATAAGACTCAGTCCTTACTTTGAAGTTCACAGCTTAGAAGAGAAGACATTTAAATTAAGGTTTATTGTAATGATGTAGAGTGCTCTGGCAGAGATTTGCGTGGCGTGCTGAGAGAGTAAAGAAGGGACAAACTGTCTCTCCCTGGGAGAGTTAGGGAAAGCTTCCC